GTCTTGGGCAGAGGATGCTGATTATTTTTCTTTTTGACTGCCTCTGTCCTTACCAGGACTTGTTTGGAGTTCCTGGGTCTTTGGGAGCATCTCAGCAAACAGGACATGGCAAACGGGATACATCATCTTGTAGGGGCCACCATTTGTGGCATTACCAACACCCCTTCCCTTTATTCCCCATCACTGGCTGGAATGGCATCTGGCATGCTAGACATCCCTCCACAGAGTTTCTGGACAGCCAGTCCTAGGACCTGCTGGCAGTGGCAGTTGGTCACATGTCTCTAGCTCACTCATCACCATATAGGGCCTCTGTGGTCAGTTCTGGCACAAACTGAAACAAGTATTCATCTGTGAGCAGAGCCACAGGAATAAGCCAGAATGGTGCTCAGTAGATCATCTCCCACACAAGCTCCTCACAGGAGCAGATACTTCCAACATGACAGGGAGGTAGGGGGCAATGTGTCCACTCAAATGGGACTATTGTTTTAGAAAGTAGTTTATGCTGAGCTAATCTATCAAAATCACCCCTGAATAGACTTCCTATTCCATGATGAGACAGATAAAATAATCTGAAATCACTCCTTTTACAAAGAGATGTTAATGGTTAAAGTATAAAATTATTTTTTAAATTTATTTTTGTTATAGATATTTCTCCTTTTCTCCCCACTGACACCTTCCTCCCGATCCTGCCCCCTCTAGTATAAAATTATTATTATTAATATTTTTAATCCTCACCCGAGGACATTTTTGCATTTATCTTCAATAAATGAGTGGGAAGGAGGAAGGGAGGAAGAGAGAGAGAGAAACATTGACTTGAGAGAGATGTTTGCCACCCACACGACCCCAACCGAGGCCAGGGACAAACGACGACCAAGGTACGTGCCTTTAGCAGTAACCGAACCCAGGACTCTCTGGTCCTCGAGCTGACGCTCTAACCACTGAGAAAAACCGTCCAGGGCTAACATTATTTTAAGTGCAAAGCTAAATTTACAGGAATGAAAGGGAACTGTTAGCAGCTGGAGAGCTGAGAACCAGAGTGGCCTGCATATGAACTGGCTGTGGCTGCTAGGGATGGGGAAAAGGTGTGAGTGGTGTTGCTCTTGAGCGTTAATGTCAACGTAAGTATGAGAAATAAGACTTTGACCTATGCCCCATAGGAAGTTGGAAATGGGACACCCCTGCATAAAGTTGGCACCCTGAAGGCTTCATCCTTGATGTAGAGGTGAGCTATAAAAAGTTCCTCCACTGGCATGGAGAAATAACAAGGAAACTTTCCCCAAGGATAAGGGGTCACAGATCCTGTGAGAATTTGTAACCATGCACAGGTTTGGGATTCAAATTTACACTGTGTGGTCCAGGAACCACCGGGCTGAGGAATTTAGCATAAAAATTAGCCCAAGGCTGCCCGGCTGGTGTGGCTCAGGGTTGAGCATCAACCCATGCACAAAGAGGTTGCTGGTTTGATTCCTAGACAGGGCACATGCCCAGGTTGTGGGCCAAATCCCCAGTGGGGGGCATGCAGGGGGCAGTCAATCGATGTTCTCTCTCATCGATGTTTCTATTTCCCCATCTCCCTTCTTCTCTCTCTAAAATCAATAAAGAAAAAATTTTTTAAAAATAATTAGTCCAAGGCTGAAATAGCTAGTAGAATAAAAACAAAACGAAACAAAAACTACTGTATCTGCCCTTTATCTAGCAATACAGCATTCCCACAAAGACCTAGTAAACACTACCTCCAAAGAGTAAACACACACATACATGCAGGCACACGTATGTGTACATGTGCATGTGTGTGTGCAGAAACAACCTATCATGGAGGCACAATGTAAGTAGGATCAGACTTATAAGAACTTCAGTTAACAAGTTATTGAATAAAGACTACACAATATATATTTTTGTTTTTAATAAATACAAAAGTAATAATACAAATATAATAAAGGGTACCAAAATAGATTACAGATATTTTAAAAAGCAGAATTTCTAGGAATGAAGAAAATATAGTTCTAAAAGTTAAAATGATGGACTAGAAACAGTAAAAGAGAGAATCAGTGACCTGGATGTTAGATCTGAAGTAACTGCCAAGAATTGCAGTTTGGAGGGATGAAGAGAGAGAAAACTGAAAGCACAGATAAGAGACATAATGGGCAGAAAGAGAAGATCTGGGATACATCTAATCACAGACACAAAGGAGATAATAGGGAGATCACTATCTTCGTGATCTCATCCAATCTGTGGCTTTAAACATCATCCATATGCCAACTCTCAATTTTATATATCTAGCCTATACTGCTTTCCTGAACTCTAATCCTGCATAGCCAGCTGCTCACTTGGCATCTCCACTTGATTATCTATTAAGATATCTACAAATCAACATGTTTAGAACTAAATGCCTAATTGCATCCCCCAGCCCTCACCCCCAACATGTTCTATCCACAGCCTTCTTTATCTCAGCCCAATTGTTCAGGCTAAAACCTTTAATTTTGTACTTGACTCCTTTCTTCCTGTCACATCCTACATCAAATCTGTCAAGAAATTCCGTGGATTTAACCTTTCTACTATATTAAAAATCTGACTACTTCTTACCATTTTTACTTCCCCTATCCTGATCTAAGCCACTATCATTTCTTTTCTAGATATTGCAACAGCTTCCTAACTGTGTCCTTGCTCTCTTACAGTCTATTTCCAGAACAGCAGCCTGGTTGATCCTTTTGAAATGTAATTTAGATCACATCATATCTCTTGTCAAACTTTTAATGGCTCATATTTCTCTCAGAGTGAAACCCAAGTCCTTAAAACAGCTCACTAGGCCCTACATGATCTTGCCTCCTATGACTTTACTCTTCTCTACTCTTCTCCTGGTGCACTGCTCTGGTCACACGGGCCTTATTAGTTTCCCTCAAACATGCCAGGCAGCTCTTGCCTCAGGACCTTTGCACTGGCTGTTCCCTCAGCCTGAAATATTCTTCCCCAGATGTCCACATGACTCACTCCCTTTTTTTTTTTTTTTTGTTTAAATGTTTTTTCTTTATTGATTTGAGAGAGAGAGGAAGGGAGAGGGAGAGATAGAAATATCGATGAGAGAGAACATCGATTGGCTGCCTCCTGCATGCCCCCCCACTGGGATTGGCCCACAACCTGGGCATGTGCCCTGACCGGAAACCGAACCAACGACCTCTTGGTGCATGGGTCTACGCTCAACCACTGAGCCACACCGGTGGGGCCACTCCCTCACTTTCTTCAAGTCATTACTTAAATGTCACCTTCTGTAGCAGAAGCTATCATGCCTTGACTGGTACTTGGAACTCCTGCTAATGGCTTCCTCCTGAAAGCATCTGCAACGTTCTACATAAAGGCTTTTTCAATCATATGTACTTTTTCAAGTGCTGCAAAGTGGGCCCAAATGCCAGGGAGTTAACACCTTTAGGAGCAATCCTCAACCAATGAGTCGATGGATGAGTACTCTAATCTCCTCTCCCTTGGGTGGGATAATTCTGAGTCATGTTCTCCACTATTTCCTGGGACTTCCCAGTATGAATACAAATTCACATATATAAATGGAACTAAGGGAAAAAATAGTTGCTATATTGAGTTAATGGGATTGTCAATGAATGTAAAATTTTTAAAGTTGTCTTAATATTTTTATTACTATATATTTTAACAGTATAATTAAAAGGATAAGGTTGAACCAATATAGCACCCAAGTTTTTTTTCTGAAGTTCTGAGATTCAAGGTAGAACAAAAAGCTCTGGATAGTCCTCCCTGTCTTCCATAATCTTTAATCTGAAGGGCTCAGACACATCTGTTGCTATTTCCTCTGTCACTGCATCAAGGTTCCAGTCCACGTGCCCCATCACAGATGAGCCCAGGAAGTCTCACTCTGAACTTAACTGTTGATCAGCAGGCTGCACTTTTCTGAGGCAATACAATATAGGGATAGAACACAGGTGTTGGGCTGAGACATCCAAGTTTATTTATTTATTTTTCTTTATTGATTTTTTTGAGAGAGAGGGAGAGGGAGAGAAAGATAGCAACATTGATGAGAGAGAACTTCGACTGGCTGCCTCCTGCATGTCTCCCACTGAGGGTTTAGCTTATGACCTGGGCATGTGCCCTGACCAGGAATTGAACCAGCAACCTCTTGGTGCATGGGTTGATGCTCAACCACTGAGCCACACTGGCCGGGCGAGACATCCAAGTTTAAATCGGGACTCTATATCACACTGGCATGGACCCTGGGCAAGTTGTCCAATATCCCTGCTTTCCTTTCCTAATGTGTAAAGCAATAATTAATCCTGGGGCTCTGTGAAATGAAGGAATTAATGTATGTCTAGTGCACAGCAGGACCTCAATCAACTGAAACTGCCATGACAGTTACAATAACTATAATAATAAAGATATCAATGTGCATTACATTTGATAGATGGTGAGCAAACATACATATACACACATACACCCCAACCAAAGTGGGATTTTGGATTTGAAAAAGCACCATTCAGACTGACATTACCTTTCTCCAATTAATTCTGACTGTGATGGCTTTTTAAGACCAATCTAAAAATTGACAGAAGTAGCTACTAAAAATATACCCAGTGCTATCCTGGGCAGTGTTACTGGAGGTCAGGTGTCTTGGGTCAAGGAAGTAGTAGTTCCACTGCTGACCACATCTGCCAGGTCACACTTGTAACTTCATGCTGGGGGCTAAAGGCAGTGTTTTAAGTGGACAAACTCCCCAGGGGAGTGTGACTGGCATCACAAGAGGCTCTGAAAACCCTGTCAAGCAAGGAATAATCACAGAAACTAGGGACATTCCATCTGAGAAGTCCAAATAGAACATTTTCTGTCATTTTGGGAGGAAAAAATGGGACAAGAGTTTTCTGTTCTGGAATGGATGGTCTTGATGCAAACTGGGTATGTAATACCTGGAGGATGCAAGCATTGTCTGGGCAGCCCCAGTCAAGATCTATGTGAGAGAAACCAGAAGAAATATCTTAGACGCCTCTAGGTTCCTTTTAAATCTAAATCCTGTGATTCTATTGTAGTGGACATGACCACAGAATATTTTCCCACTAGGTTTTCTTTCTGCTATGTTGGTAGCATTCAGCCCACTGGGAACATTTTCTTAACCCTTACTTATTTTCATTGCCTAGATCAGCACTGTCCAATATAAATATAACACAAGCTATATGTGATTTTGCAATAGCTATGATAATCAGTGAGATTTTACATAGCTGTCTTAGATCTCTGGAGTCTTGCAGATGTCCTTTGTCTAGCTAATCTTTCTATGTTACTAGTGACAAGACAGTTTGTGACCACAGGATCATCTCTATTCCTGTTATATAGCACTAACTGAAATGAGAACGGGATTGAGCAAAAAAAGGGATTAAGAATCAAACTCAGGAGGAACTAAGGCAGTGTGTGAAAGGACTCAGAACATGTGAAATTCCTTAAATAAAAATTTATTAACTTTAAAATAAATAAATCCTGTGATTCTATAAAAGCAGTTGTAGAAAACTTATCATTTGAAAATTATATCATATACATAGATATTCACACATTAATTTTTCTATCAAATTTGAATTGCTTTTATTAACAAAAATAACATTTAATTTAGAAATAATATTTTTATTAAGAAAACAACCTATCTATGAGCAGATAACATTTCTACCAGCTCAGTGGCTCAACAATAAAAGGAAAGGGGCCCCATTTGCAGAAATATATCCCCAAAGGCTGGAAGAAAAAAGAGGGAGTCTTGCATGCAGGGAAGGGGCTCACCTCAAGAGCAAGCCATAATTTGTAAATCGATAACTAAATGGCTTGTAAGACACTGATTTTAAAACTGTATTACAAGTTCCTTGATGGAGAATCTGCTCTGTCCAGAAAAAAAATTTCTAAAAAGCATTAGGAAGCTGAAGTTGAGTGTGTATGGAATAGATAATATTGTTCTTGAATTTGGGATTGATAGCAAGGGCAGAGATGGCAAGAGTGGAAGAACACTCTCTGCTATAGGGCTATGCCCTGGCTTTCTCCTGCAGAAGGTGAGAGGGGCTGGAGGAGGGATCTGTAAAGCTCCCAAAGAGGCTGAGAGCATAGAGAATGTGGCCAGTGTATGTGGCCGGCTACTTGAAAAAGGAATACAGGGTGTGAGAACCCCATACAATTCCATGTGCCACCACTCTGGGGTCAGCAGCTGTTATTGCCTACCTCTGCTAAAAAGATCATGCAAGATAATGTCTATGAAAACTCTGCAATTTCTTTTTTTTGTTTGTTTTGTTTTGTTTTTTGTCCTCACCCGAGGACATTTTCCCCATTTTTTGTTCAGATAGAGCAGGAGGGAGAGGAAGGGAGAGAGAAAAACATCGATGTGAAAGGGGCACATCAACTGGTTGCCTCCTGCACTTGCCCAGACCAGGGCCAGGAATCAAAACTTCAAACCAGGTATGTCCCCTTGACCAGAAATCAAACCCGCAACCCTCAGTGCACAGGCTGAGACTCTAACCTCTGAGCCACACTAGCCAAGGCTGACTCATTTTTTAATGGTTGTAGGACCAAATAGGTTTTCTATCTCTCACTGAGTCAGTTTTGATAATTTGTATTATCTTAGAATTTTCAAATTTATTGGCACCAAATTGTCCATTATTTTTGTTAGACATAGAATTTGTTAATTTTCTTTTTCCTATAACATAAGCATTTAAATTTCTAAATTTCCCTCTAATTACTGCTTTAGCAATATTCTACAATTTTGCTATTTCAGTTATTTCATTATTTAATTCCAATTATTTTGTGATTCCCATTATGGTTTGGTGTTTTTTTTAAAACAAGAGTTATTTACAAATGTGCTTTTGAATATTCAAATGTATTTCCCTGCTTGTTAGTGATTTTTCTAACTTAATTGCATGGTGGTCAGAGAATATGGCCTGTATCACTTCAATCATTTGAAATTTGTTGAGAATTATTATATAGATTTATATATGGTCAGTTGTCATAAATTTTCCACATGTGCATTAAAAAGATATGAATGCTCTAACTGTTCAGCAACTTTATATATATTAATTCAGTCTTCTTAATTATGTTGCCAATATCTTCTGATTCTTATCTGCAAGATCTACTATTTTCAGGTGTATTAAAAGCTGCACTATAACGGTTAACTTATCCACTTTTTCTTCTAGTTCAACCACTGGCCATAGTGGCTGAGCCAAAGTTTCTTTTGAGAAATCAGGTGACAGTCTAATGGGAGTTCCCTTGTAGGTAATTAACTGTTTTTCTCTTGCTGCTTTTAAGATTCTCTCTTTACCTTGAACCTTTTGCATTTTGATGATGTGTCTTGGTGTGGGCCTCTTGGGGTTCATCTTCTTTGGGAATCTCTGTGTTTCCAGGACTTGTGTGTCTGTTTAGGAAACACAAGTTAGGAAAGTTTTATCATTTTTTCAAATAGGTTTTCAATTTCTTGTGCTCTCTCTTCTCCTTCTGGCACCCCCATGATGCAATGTTGGTATGCTTGAAGTTGTCCCACAGGCTCCTTACACTATTCTTATTTTCTTGGATTCTTTTTGCTTTTCTGATTGGGTGTTTGTTCTTCCTTATATTACAAATTGGTGGTTTGCTGTTTCGCTTTGCCTACTCTACTATTATCTCAGTTAGTGCCTCCTTCATTTCTGACTGTGTATCCTTCATTTCTGACTGGTCTTTTTTATGCTCTTGAGGCCCTCACTAAGTTCATTGATCATCTTTACAAGCAGTGTTTTGAACTCTGCATCTGTTAGACTGCTTATCTCCATTTCGTTTAGTTCTTTCTTGGAGTTTTGTTCTCTTCTTTCATTTGGGACATGTTTCTTTGTCTCCTCATTTTGGCTGCCTCCCTTTGTTTGTTTCTATGTATTAGGTAGAGTTGCTATGTCTCCTAGGCTTCCTGGGGTGGTCTGTCGTAGTAGGTGTCCTGTAGGGTGGCACAACCTCCCTGGTCACCCCAGGTATATGCTCAACGTGCACCCCTTGTATGGACTGTCTACCTTTCTGTTGTAATTGAGTCTTGATTGCTGTTGGCATGTCAATGGGAGAGATTTACTCAGGCTGATGAGCTTCAAGGACTGGCTGTGACCATTGACCACTGACCTCTGACTACCTTGGAAGACTAGCTGAGCAGAGGCCCACCACACAGAGCAAGACTTACTTCAGCAGGGCTCTGGTACCCATTGAGTCCACTCCTTGAGTGTGTGGCTTGTGTAAGTGGTTGGCTGGTGGTGCTTCACTGTGGTCTGACATTGTCCACTGGGTGCCCTGGCTCTGAGAAGGTTAGCCACTGCCTGTGTTCTACCCAGGGTCACCAGGTATAAGCTACAAAGCGATATGCAGGTGGCTACTTCTTGTGCTGGGCTTGGAGGTACCCAGGCAAAGCCAAGTTGTGAACCAAGGCTGGCTGTTCCTAGTGCCACTTAGTGAGAGGTATGGGGCTCGCTGAGGCCAGATGCTGCTTTTTGGAGAGAATTTAGGAAAATCTGAAACAGGAGCCAAGACAGGCCATTCTTATGGTAAAGCCACTAGGAACAGCTTGGGTGGGCCTGAGAGTTTGGGGGGCAGAGCATCAGAGAATCACCAGGGCAGGGCAGGGCAAACAGTGTGAGGCAGGTTGCTGGAGTCCCAGATATGACACCGTCTGCCTGCCTCATGGGGGAAGGGCTCACCAAAGGAACAAAGGCCCCCACTAGCATGTCTGTCCAGGAGAAAGCTGCCTCTCCAGCCCTCGCCCTGATGCCAAACAACTCAGTTCTTCTCTGTATGTCTCTAGTGCCTTTCAAGCTGCCTCCCCTCCACATTGGAGCTCAGAGGGGGCAGGTCTGAGTAAGTCCGTGCGCAGGCCCTCTAAGAGAAGCTGCCTGGGACTCCAGCAGCCTCGGCCTCCTTCACCCTCAGTTTACAGCCAGAAGTTATAGGACTTTTCTTCCTGGCACTGGAACCCTGAGCTGGAGGCCTGGTGTGAGACGGGGACACCTCACTCCTCAGGGAGGACCTTCACAGCCGAGGTATCCCTCCTGATTTTTATCTGCCACACGTGTGTGTGGGACCAGCCCGACTGTGCCTCCACCAGGAATTAAGATCTCCTACCAGTCTCAATGTGGCTTATTTAATTTCATTGTAGGACTTTCATTCAGCTTGATTTCAGGTGATTTTGAATAAAGGCTGTTCTGTAGTTTAGTTGTAATTTTGATTGAGAACATTCTTCCATTGATTTTTAGAGAGTGGAAGGGAAGGAGGGAGTGGGAGGGAGAAGGAAAGGGGCGGGGAGAAACACATAGATTGGTTGCCTCCTGCACTGCCCCAATTAGGGCTGGGATCAAACCTATAACTGAGATACCTGCCCCCGATCAAAAATCCAACCCTCAACTCTTCATTTTGCAGGTGGATGCTCTAGCCACGAAGCCACACTGGCCAGGCCAGGACACCACTGTTAAAATAACATTTTTGGTTCAGTCTGTTATTCTCTTTTGAACTACACTAGAGTATGTTTGAAATGTCTATGTTGGAAGCGATGGAAATTCTATTTTATTTATTTTTAAAATATGTTTTCATTGATTTTTTTTTTTTAGAGAGACAGTAAGGGTTAGAAACATCCATCAGTTGCCTGCCTCTTGCATGCCCCCTACTGGGGATCGAGCCTATAACCCAGGCATGTGCCCTGACTGGGAACTGAACTGGGACCTCTCAGTCTGTGGGACAATGCTCATTCCACTGGGTTGGCGGTCCAAATGCCTAGCCCTGCAACAAAACAGAAGCTCAGTAAATGTGTCATTTTCAAAATAGTTGCATGTCTTTTAATGCATATAACATTCTGACACCAAAAGTGAGAGATAGTAGCTGAATTTTATGCTTTTCATGAATATTTGAGGGCTTTTACTCCTTAACACGTAATAACATTAAGAACTTAAAAGAAGCCCTGGCCAGTTTGGCTCAGCGGTTAGAGTGTCGGCCTGTGGTGCAAAGAGACCCGGGTTCAGTTCCCGCTAAGGGCATGTACCTTGGTTATAGTTTGTCCCCGGCCCTGGTTGGGTCGTGCGGGTGGCAGCCACTCGATGTGTCCCTTTCATGTTGATGTTTCTCTCTCTCTCTTCCTCTCTCTCCCTCC